ATATAAGGCGTTTAATTAATTAATAGATCATGGACCGATATAAGGCGTTTAATTAATTAATAGATCATGGACCGATATAAGGCGTTTAATTAATTAATAGATCATGGTTAATTAATTTGCTGTGAATAATATGCGAACTTAGATAAATGGCAGAAAAACATGGAATTAACCAGAAAAATAATCTCGTGACATTCTGTTTTATCGAATTTGGTAGAGCTACAACGTGCCAAATACTTCCAGAACAACACAAATTTGCACTTAAGTGCTTAATAAAAAGAAGAAAAAAAAACACGGTACTAATTGTGTTTATTCTTGAAGTGTGAAGTTTATATGCTTGATTTCTTTTCTTGAGAATAAAAGCAGTTATCCATTAAAGAGGATAGAAACTTAAGTAGTATTCCATACAAGTTCTTTGTTATTTCTTCTGGAAGTTTACTTTTTCTATGCCGTTCGATACGACGTACGTAGTTTGGCAAAAAAACAAAAAAAAACACCAACGTCATGTCACGAGCCAAATCTCGCTAACAAAAAAAAAATTATTTACGGAGAGAAAAATCAAACAGATTTAATTGTATACAACACGACACTAATTATGTTTATTCTGAAAGTGTGACGCAAATACGACTGATTTATTTTGTTGGAAATAAAAACTGTTTCCATTAACACACACATACATATATATATACATACACATACAAAACCTTTTTCTAAAATTTGTGCAAAACTGTGATAACAATTTTTTACTCAATATATATGTAAAAAAAAAACTCAAGTGACATCAATTCCCCTATGTAATTTGTCGCAAATGGATTTCATAGAAAAGCCTTAAATCTGGCTTTTTGGACGTATGAATATAACGCCTTCATTTCTTAATATTCTGTTTTCTTTGCTTGCTTCCTTTCGCTTTCTCACATTTTTGATTTTTTTGAAAGTGTAAACTTTATATTATGTATTTTTCAATTTACTTATATTTTTTCACCTCCCTTTTAAGTATTCATATTTCTCAGGTTTCGTCTAATCTAAACGTTTTTCTTCGCGATTCTTCCCTGAATTACATTATATTTCATGTATACATATATAATTCACTTATTGGTGGGCTAATAATTAGAAATTCTGTAACTGTACACATAGATTGAAGGGAACATTCACAAGCACTAAATACCAGCAGCTTGTCCCACACCTAAAAATTTAAAGAGATATTTATGTAACGCTGTAGAAAAATAAGCTATCGGGAATTAAAACTTGTGATATCGGTTATGTCGTAATAATTATCTAACTAATATTTCGGAAACTCATGTAAGACTGATGAGAATGTGATAATTTGTACATAACACTGATGAGAATGTGATAATTTATACATAACACTGATGAGAATGTGGTAATTTGTACATAATACTGATGAGATCGTGATAATTGGTACATAACACTGATGAGAATGTGATAATTTGTACATAACACTGATGAGAATGTGGTAATTTGTAGATAATACTGATGAGAATGTGATAATTTGTACATAACACTGATGAGAATGTGATAATTTGTACATAACACTGATGAGAATGTGGTAATTTGTAGATAACACTGATGAGAATGTGATAATTTGTAC